TCCTCCACAAATGACTCGTCCTTTATTTGATTGTCACAGAACAAAAATGACACATTTTTGTTACTGACGCCTGTCTGCAGCATGATTCGTTTCACATCTTCCTTCCATTCGTTGTTGCCATAGGATTTCGTGATTTCAATCTGAAAGAGCTCAAAAGCATTCATGAAGGTGGCCAACTTGGTAGCACTTTGTCGCCCACTCCCACCAATTCCCACCAAAAGCAAATGACCATTGTCCTGTTTCAGTACTCTGCATATCCTTGAGATATGCTCGATGGCAAACTTAAACATGACCAAGGACATTGGTGCCTTGCTGATATTGTTGTACTCATCAAGGTAATACTCCATCACGGTTGTCAATTGCTTTAAGTCTGTGATTTCATCATAGGCTTTTACATCACTGTCTGGTTTAAAGTAGTCTCCAAAGAAGAGGCTCCGGATATTATCATCAGTGATCTTGCCAGTAGGTGACAGATGACTCAGGACCTATGGAAAAGACAAGATTCAACAGATAATTGAGATTCTATTTTTTCCTCTAAAGAAATACTCCTCTATAGTCACATAGTAGTAGGCTCTACTGCTGTGGGTAATGCTTTTCCCCTGCTGTTCCAATGTATTATTTTACCAAAAAAAACCCAAACCATGTATACTAAAATGTCATTTTTCAGATATGCATACCTTAAAATATGGACATTCTGCTTTTACTGTCCAGCATATGACCATGTTTCCAAAAGGCCTGATAACATATCCACAGCATGTATGGACCCTTCCAAATACACACAAATCAAATAATAGCACGGCTAACTACCTCAGCCCCAGTCCTGACAGTTAATCATTCCAGGTGATCTCCTGCCCCTGGAGAGAGCACTCATTAAGTCAGGAGCCCACTTTCACAGAGTACGTTGCAGGATGAGAGCCCTAACTTCAATGCGCAACTATTGTTGGTGCATCCATGGAGACAGTTCACATTTTTTCTAATATTGCTTTGGTATATCTGAAATGTTGAATTAGTTTTGTAAGTTTGTCAGTCCCATCTCCATGTCCAAACTATTCTGTGTATAAGCCAGCATACCTTCTCAACACTCTGCTTGAAGTTATTTGATGTTGTTTCTTTTACCATCTTAAAGAACATCCCCCTGTCATCATTGTCAATTAAGCGGTCATAAAAGACTCGATACACTTCATGGATCCAAAGTCTGATTAGCTTATCCCCATCCTGTAAAAGCAGATCTAAATGAATAGATCAATATTTAAAGGGCAGAACTTGTTTCATAACAAAGTAGTCAGCTCTCCATTTGAGGCCTGATGCACCTCTCACTAAAGTCAATGGTAGTCTTTCAGTTATGAGTATACAAGCAAATGAGTCAACATTTATTAACCAAACTGGCTTCCTCACTACATAATGATTGTGTCGTATCTTTTCTGGCAATACATGCTTGGCCTCTGCTGACAAAGCACTTAGCTATTGTTTCACTGAGGGTATGTCTACACTGCAGTTTGTCCAGAAAAATAGTTATTTTTCCGGAAAAACTACACTTAAATCCACACTGCAATTGCGTTCTTTCAACAGAAAGTCGAAAGAATGCAGTGATTTTTCTGACTGTAGTAAACCTCTTTCTATAAGGAAGATGCCTTTTTGATGTTATATAGAAACTTCCACCATCAATAAATAGCAAGATACATTTTTGGAGGCCAAGCTATTCAACCTCTTTGCGCATCAGTTCCTCATCTGTAAAATGAGGATAATAATCCTTCTTTTTTCCCTTCTTCCTTTGTCTTGTCTATTTTAGATAATAAAAAGCTGAGGCCTGGACTGTCCCCTTCAGTGAATATTGCAGGGCCTAACACTATTGTAATATCTACTATATTTTTTAGAGCATTTGTGTGTCTGTCTGTGTGTCCATCCATCTGTCTGTGAGTCCATTTGTTCAAGAATACCTCCTAAAAGGTAAGAGCTAGGACCACCAAATTTCGTATGCAGCTTCCTCTTATAACTTAAAGCTAGGTAAAGGATTGGTTGTGTCAGAACAATGGGATGTGAGTGTTTCACATGAAACAGAAAGGGAGGGATGTGAGAGCAGGGACAGTTATACTCACAAATAACCACAGGGGGGGCAGCAAGCACCCTAGCCCTGGGGAGCAGACACTGGCTGGCAGCATGGTCCCCGCCACTTGGCCTGCCCCCAGGGAGGGGCTGCCAGCCACTGTGCTGCTCCCACCACCCAGGTGTCCTCTGGGCCACCATGGCACATGGCTCTTGCTGCCGTGGGCCAGCCCCGAGGAGAATCTTGAGAGAGAGAGTAGGAAAGTGCATAGCAAAATATTCAAGTCCAATCCTGCTCCGAGTTATATGAATAGAAACCTAATCAAATTACATGGCATGTTAGCAAAGAGAATTTAGCTTTAATATTTTATTTTTTTAAAATATTTTATGAATACAGTTAAACAGCAACATACTTGTAAATGAGTGTGTGGACACAGCAGCACTCCTCTAATAACACGGGAGAAATCACGTAGATTAAAGACATAATGGGATTTTGAAGGAGTTGGAAGAAAATTCTCAACAGCCATTTTATAAATAGCCATTGTAGCTTGGATCATCATCTTGCCAAGCCTTAAAAAAAGAAAAAGAAGAGAAAGGTGAATTTAATTGTGAGCCATGCAAATGAAAGATTTAAGACAGTATGTTCTCTGTAAAATAGTCTTGGAAATGTATCACAATTACCTTGTAAATACAGCTTCAAATCCTTTGCTGAAATGCCAGTCAACGATTGAAGAGAAAATCTTGGTTAAAATGTCATCATCAAAAGCATCGATGTAAATAATATTCAAGTGTCGTGTGAAACGCCCTGTAATACACAGTGAAAGACACAGTCATATTCAGTACTGCACAATTTTCTTTTCCACCTTGCACTTACCATTTGTCTAGCAGTGATCACCATATTACTAATTAACTCAAGCTGCAAAATTTGGATCAGGATCTGGTTCTGGGTTTTGTTTCAGACACATTTCTACACACTTCAATAAAAATGACACTATCACTATTTGAGGCTGATATGAGATTATATACTGGTTATATTTTGTTTCAGTACAGTGCACAGCTCTTGGAAGAGTGTCAGTGTTTAACATGAAGGGCCTGATTCTCTTATATTAAGTCTGCTTTTATTATGCTATAAATCGGAACTTAGGTCAGATTGCATGTAGCGGCACATCACACTGGTACATCACTCAAGCTGTAATACTGATCTCCCAATAGAAGCTTTGATAAAAACAAAACAATTCAAAAAAGTAATGCCTTGTCTACAAACAGAGAAATCTGTGTTATCCGGCACTCTGTTAACTAGAAAACTTTGTTAACTGGCATTGTCCCCAGCCACAATACTGTCACATCTTCAGGCACGTAGGCCTGGCTTGGTTTACCATGATTGGCTTAACAATGTTTTATTTTAAAAATACTAATAATCTTTAACTCAGAATAGAAATGTGAGACTAACTGCCTCACACTACAAAACTACCAATATTAAAAACTTGAGTTTTACTATTATTGTCCCTTGGTTTTTCCTAGGTTGATGGAACCCTCAGATAACTGGAATTTTTAGATAGTTGGAATGCCCTAATCCCCGAGCGTGCCAGATAACACAGGTTTTACTGTATAAAAGCTTTGCTACTTTTAATTATACCTGTAGAATTAATGCAGGCCTGACAACCCAAGTTTAGAAACAGTTATACCCATATAAAAGTGCTTGTATTAGTACAATTTATTCCAGTTCTGCAAAGTGAAATAAACTATAGCAGCTCAGACTACCTTACATCAGTATAACTGCATCTTCACTATGGGTGCGTCTACACCGGGGTGGGCAATAATTTTTGAGCAGGGGCCACTTCAAACATTTTTGAAGTGGTCGTGGCTGCTCTGAAAGGGGCGGGGCCTGAGACAGAAGGGGTGGAGCCTTTAACTAGCAGGAGTTGAAAGGATTCATGCCTTTATCTATCTACCTATTGATGAAATGTTATTTTTTATATTTCTTACCTGTAATATCATTCCTTCCTCCACCAGGAGGGCCCATTGCTGAAACAAATATGACATCTGTGATATCAAGCCTGGATGTATCCTTTTTGTCATACCAGTGACCATGATCAATCCACTGTCTAAGAAGCTCAATAGGTGGCTGGGCTCCATATACCTCCTTTGCAGGCATGTTTAGGTCATCTAGAAAGAATGTTCATGTCATAAGAAACAAACCAAAGCACAGATAGCTATTGTCTCTCTCAACTTGGAAAAGGTTATCTTTCATGTTTACTGTATTTTTCTCTTTGATGAAACAACTGACTCTTATGTAATTATGTCAAGCGATGTTTGGGGTTTTTTAGTTAAAGATACTGGGGTTTTTTTTGGGGGGGGAGGTTGTTTTGTGTTCATTTATCACAAATTGCAACATAATGTACCAAAGAGCACAAATTTAAAGTGAGTGAACCATCTTAAAGATAAGCACCACTTCAGTGTATTTAAGCCTTCTAGCAGGGGACAGTCCTAATGCTGTCACAGATACTTTTAAAAAAGTAAACAGTGCATCAGTGTATGATTACCAGAACCAATGAAGCACTTAGGTTGCTTGAAGCCTGAATTTACATGAAATAAAGACACAAAAACAAAATAAGAACAATAACTAGGAAGACACAAGTTGTCTTACCTACAAATATTACAGCTTTTTTCCCCACAGGAGGTCCAAATAGTCCCTTTCTTCTTCTGTCCAGCTTTGACATAATAATATCCTGGGTTTGGTTAGCTGAAGTTCTTGCAGAGAAGTTGATGCAGTTAGGGACATATTTAAGCTTTGGAAGTTTCAGAAGAAAGCTGTTGGTAATAGCAGATTTTCCTGTGCCAGTGGGGCCCACAAACAGCAAGGGGATATCATGTTTCACATATGTTTTTAGAAAAAAAGATTGCCTGGCTGTTTCCATTGTTGGAATTATAAGATCAGACACCTGAAAAAATCAAATATAATGTGGAAAACAAATACCTAACACTCTAATCAATACTCTATAATGAGCAGCAGGAAGCTGCAGTGAAAGAGGGAATGCCCAGAGTGATTAGGTTCTAGCAGAAAATCCTGGGAGTTAGAACATCAGACTGTAGTCAGGCAGGTCCCAAGTGGCCTGTCAAAGCAGAAAAAGTGCCAGGCAGGAAGGCCTGAGAGAAGGAAGAGAAACTTTGATTTGTATGGGCTTTTGGATGGAAAGAGAAGAAACTGCATGTGGTGTGACCTTAGGCAGGGGAGACGTGGGAGATAGCTAGCTTCGTTACAATAGGGAGTATTATTAGCTCAATTTTACAGATGGGGAAACCAAAGCACAGAGAGATTAAGTTCATAACTTGCCAGCAAAATGTGGATGCTTCTGTCCTAGATTGTTCTTCAATGTGCAAGCTACTTGGAGCCCCTATGTTGCTGCCCCCACCCCCATTCTAAGGAAGTGGTAAGTCAATTCATGGTAAATGATGAGTAATTCATATTTTAATACACTAGGTCACAGCCTGAGCACCCAAAAACATACACGAAAAATCAGAGGCCTCTTGGCTAACTGATTTTCCCAAAGTCACATGGATTCTGTAGCAAAGCCAGAAATTGAGCCCAGATCTTTCATCAGAAGAGCATTCTTATGTTCAGTATTTACCTTTTGTACTGAGATTTAAAAGTAGGTCTTATAGCAGAACCTACTATAAGGAGAAGGGGGGGAGGAATAGCTCAGTGGTTTGGGCATTGGCCTGCTAAACCCAGGGTTGTGAGTTCAATCCTTGCAGAGGCCATTTGGGGCAAAAATCAGGGATGGTACTTGGTCCTGCTGTGAAGGCAGGGGACTGGACTCAATGACCTTTCAAGGTCCCTTCCAGTTCTAGGAGATAGAATAGAATAATGGAGATTGCCTAACCAAGGTTTAAGTGGGCAAGAGCCCATATAACTTAAGACCATATAGCAGAAAGAAGTCATATATAAATCAGAGCTACTAAATATAATTGACTTGTAGCTCTGTCATTTCACAACACCATTTTCATCATTAAGTTATTTTCTATAATGAAAAAAATTAATGTTAACCTTTGCACCAGTAGGGATATTTTGCTCCTCTCTAGTGATGTAATCAGTCCATATGTTCCATTGCCCACTGGCTTGCTTGTGAAAATAAAAGTCAAACACACTCCCTGTTAAATGAAACACAGAATATAGGAATAATGATTAAATAGTCAGTCAAAATAATGTCATGTTACTTAGCATATTTCTCCTCTAGTCCTTTCTACTAGAAAAGTAGAAATGATCAGGTGAAAGAATGTTCCTGATTTGTCAGTTCTTCACATGGCCTGTGTGATGATGAATGTCTCCTAAAGAACACTGAATATACTTTGCTCCCATTGAGCCTCCTAATCGGGAAGGTATCAGCTGCAACCTAATAGTCTTCACTGTTTAGGTGCAATCTGGGGAACATGCTATTCTTGTTTACAGCAACAATAATAGAGCTCCACTGTGTCTACCCTTCAGGCCTGGCTGCATAATCTCTGTAGCAAAGGACAAGCGCCAGACACCCCAGTCTGCCCTACAATGCTAGACAAGATTTGGCAGTGTCTGTAAAGCAAAACTAAAACCAATGCAAATACAGTTATGTAGCAACACCTTTTTCCGGAAAGACATTGTTTTTGGTGAGCTTCACACTTTTGGGGCGTAGGTTCTCATCATCCATTCCCATTAGCAAGTTGCGGTAAAACAAATCAAATTTCTTTCTGCTGTCTGCATTGATGGTTCCACCGATTGTCCAAACCAAGGCAAAAAGGAAAAGCCCTTGTAGCCATAGGATGATCTGCTGACTAGACATGGTTTCACCCTCTTCTTCACCCGATTTTCTTATTTCGTCTAAAAATGCATTCAAATCTTGGTTAATGGTCAAAAATTGCAATTCAAAATCTGCTTTCATAAAAAAAAAAAAATCACTCTAAGTCAGATCCTCAGGATTGGCTTCAGTAGAACTATATCCATTTTTACCAGGTGAGAATCTGGCCCTGTTTTGATGGTGCAATATATTGTGTTTAATTAAAAATGAATGAGTAGGAAATATTTAAAGGAGTTCTAAATATTTCATTAGGATGCTAGCAAACAGTATGCCAAACATCTGGGGCCATGCCCACAAGGCTTTACTCAGGCATGTAAAACATGTTGAGATCCTGAGATGAGAGGCTATAAAAGGTGCAAAGGACTGTTGTTATTACTAGATCAGTGAAAAAGACCCATGGCATATAATCTAAATCCCAAAGCACTTGCTTCATTCTAAATGAAGTCCTCTACCATTTACTTGTCTCTAGTGGCCTGGTTTTTCTATTGCTATGACATATCAGGGAAAAAAAGCATTAAAAGATACTGACCGAGCAGACAGGTATAGAGTTTCGTCAAGCTATTTAACAGGTGGATACTAGATGTCTGTACTGTGACTTTGCAATGAAGGCGAACAAATTCCAAGCAGGGCTGGACGAGCCACATAAACATGTCATCAATCTGCAAACAGAAGAGGAAACAGTTTTAAAACAGTGTAGGAGTGCATTATTTTCCTTTATTTATTTGATTTTTGCTGTTCAATAAAAGTGGATCCTTAAGGCATCAGTAATTTTGTCTGGACTGGTGATGGGGGCAATTGTGGAGTGGATAAGGCACTAGGGGAGCTGCCAAAGAGCCACAGAACCTGCTTAACAATGGAAAAGAAGCTGCTTCTGCCACAGGCAAATAGTTTAGAATAGGAAGTTTGTTCTCATATTAATCCAGACAGCAGAAGGACCTCTCCACCATGGGGAGCTGTTACTCCACAGGAACTAAATATAGGAAGACCACATTTCATTGAGGTTTACAGGATAATCTAAGTGAGTAAATCCAAGGTCTAGTAAGCAGACAGCGGAAGGAACAAAGACCAGGGTTCCATGACTGGGGGCACTGCAGGTCTCATCCCATTGTGTAATGCCTCCTAGAGCTTGTATACTGGAGATCATGACTACTGCCAGGAGCGAGGCAGCATCACTTTCGCTCAATAGCAGTGGTGGGCAACCTGCAGCATGAGGGCCACATGTGGCCCATGGGGATTCTCTGGTTCCCATCCAAGTAATTATTTTCCTAACAGTATTACTAAACTGACATGCACTTAAAGCAATGGCACACGAAGTGAGGTGCGTTCTGATTACACACAATATTGACTATGGGAGTAATGCTCTCTCTATGCATCAAAGTGCTGCTGGTTCAATCAGTATGCCCTGAAAATTGTAGGTACGCATGCGCAGTTAACAAAATTACGCTATCCCAGGAGACCGTCTTGATTATGATCATCTTGCAGCCCACTGAGATGGAAGGCCACTCGTGTAACCCATTCGTTAGCCTAGGTTGTCCATCACTGCTCTATGGCAACTCAGCTCTACTGACTTATGCACAGTGCAAGAAGTCAGTCCAACCCAGGGGTGGGCAAAAGGACCTCCGCGGGCCAGATCCGGCCCACCAAGTGGGTTACTCCGGTCTGCAGAGGCCCTGCCACTCCCCCGCCCCGGGCCAATTAGTGGCTGAGGGCAGGGGAGCACACGAAGCTTCCTCCTGCTCTGCCAGGAACACACAGCGCTTTGAAACACCATGTGCTGCTTGCGGGGTGGGAGGAGATGTCACACGCTCCCTGGGTGAGGGTGGGGGGGGGGGGGAGTTGTGTGAAGTTTCCTCCGCCCTCCCCCTGCTCTGCAAGGAGCACGCGGCACTTCAAAGTGCCATATGCTTGTGCAGGGAGGGGAGAGCTGCATGAAGTTTCCCCTGCCCTCCTCGCAGGGCTGGGGTGGGGCGGGAGAAGGCTTCGCGCTCTCCCCACCACCCAGCCAATCAGAGCCTGGGGGAGCTGCGCAAAGCTTCCTTTGCCCTGCCCTGGCCCTGCGAGGAGCCCACAGCACTTCAAAGTGCCACATGCTCCTCGCAGGGCAGGAGGGGGCTTCCCATGCTCCCCCGTCCCAGGGCTGTTATTGGCCTGTGGGTGGGGGAGCGTGCCTAGCCTCTTCCAGGGCATGGGTGCCTAGTAGGCTGGGGGTACGGGAGTGTGTGAAGCCTCTTCTTGCCCTGCCAGGGTCATAGGTGCCTAGTGGGGAGGGGGGCAAAGGGGCTCTCCCTCCTGACCAATCATGGTCTGGGGATGGGGTAGCCCAGAAGCATCCTGGCTCCGCCCCTTCCAGTTTAGGCCCTGCCCCTTCCAGGGCAGCCTGGGGCCACTTGAAAATGTTTTGAAATGGGTACGGGAGTGTGTGAAGCCTCTTCTTGCCCTGCCAGGGTCATAGGTGCCTAGTGGGGAGGGGGGCAAAGGGGCTCTCCCTCCTGACCAATCATGGTCTGGGGATGGGGTAGCCCAGAAGCATCCTGGCTCCGCCCCTTCCAGTTTAGGCCCTGCCCCTTCCAGGGCAGCCTGGGGCCACTTGAAAATGTTTTGAAATGGCCTCCGGCCAAAAATTATTGCCCACCCCGGTCCAACCTCTCCCCTGCTACTATATTGGCCTTTTCCAAGGATATTTCAGATAGTTTATCAAGGGAGGGAGCTTGCTTCTTAACAACATCAGGCAGCATTCCCCCATCCCTAAGGATTTTTCTGAATTTTGTCCCAACTCCTGATTGCTCTTCCAATGAACAATGGAGAAGGGGGCTGGCAGATCACTGTAGCTTCATCCAACACAGAAAAAAAATGTGTTTGGCCTTCTAATTCTTGATCCTACCCCCACTGAACTCAATGGGAATTTTGACTTATTGCTTAGAGAACATTCAGAACTTTTTCTTGCAAACCCACACTCCATTTGCAACTGAACTGCACTACCTAAACATGAGTACCACTGATTTATTTGCAGAGGTACTGACAGCCACACCAGGCCCCTGGGCAAAGTAGGGAGTGTGTGCTCCCAGAAGGGATGGCACCTTAGGTAGAAGGGGCATGTCCAGGGGCAGCCAGACCTTAGCGCCGCCTGGAGCACACCAAGCCAGACCCCTTAAAGCCACCCAGAGCATGTTGTGCAGCACTCCAGTGGTGATTTAAAGGGTGTGGGGCTCCAGACACCACCACTGCCATATTAGCAACTGTGGCAGCCAGGAGCCTTGGGCCCTTTAAAATCACTGGGCCCCAGAGTGATTGCCCCCTTTTCTGCCCTCCTCCTCCATTGGCAGGCCTGTTCATTTGAGTTGTCCTTCACAATAAGAACCACTCTAATGAGTAAGGGTTTGCAAAAGCAGATGATGATAAGAATGTTAGTAATGTATGCATTTCTCAAACTAGGTTCTGATTGCCCCAAACAGGGGAAGGTCTGTTAGTGAAGTCTCACACATCACTACACCCCACATAATAATGTATACAATTTTCAAAAGAGCCTAAGAGACTTAGAAGCCCATTGAGATTCAGGGTATGTCTTCACTGAGGTCGGAGGTGTGACTGCAGCATATGTAGACATACCCAAACTACCAGCTTTGTTGTGCTGCAGTGAAGCCATGTCAGAATGATGTGAGCAAAGACTGTACAAACCCACTTGGATGCGTGGCCACATGTACGTGGCCAGCTAGCTTGTGCTGCTACCACTGATTCACTGGCATAGTTATTCAAGCTAGAGCAAAGCTAGAGCAGTTATGTGTATATGTGCTGCAGTCAGACTGCAGTGCAGACATACATTTTGGGTGTGTCTAAACTACATGGCTCTGTCGATGGAGCCATGCAGAGGAGGCTGATTGGCAGAGGGAAATGAAGCCGCGATTTAAATAATCACAGCTTCATTTAAATTTAAATGGCTGCCACGCTCTGCCGACCAGCTGATGATCAGCTGTTTGTCGGCAGATCGGAGCAGTCTGGACGCGTCACGGTCGACAAGGAAGCCTTTGTTGACCGGCACAAGTAAACCTGGTTTTAAGAGGCATACCTGCGCGGTCGACAGAGCCATGTAGTTTAGACACACCCACAATGTCCTGAATCACTGAAATGTTTTACCCAGTGTGTCTACCTGGAAGGCAACAGGACATAGTAGGGCATACTGGGCAGATTACTTTTAAAGTAAAAGTTCTAAGGGTAATATATATATATATATATAAAAAAAGTTTCACACCAGTTCTCTGTGCTCCTTTTGCAGATTTGGGGGCAGTGTGTTCATGTAGGAATCTTTCAGAGGCTTCCAACCTAACTGATTAGGATCCATGTAGATCATACCACACCTGGAAAAAATAAGTAGTTTTGGTGCAGTAAGCTATCTGATGCACCAGGTATATGCACTGCATGAGGCAATTCATATTCTGGGTGGGATACTGTTACCTGCTGACAGTTGCTGGAGATGCCTCCTCCAAGTCAGCTGGTTCAAAGATTAAACTCATTTTGGAACTCATCTGGATTATTTCCCCGCTCATTAAACACAGCTGAAAGGCAAACATGGCATACACATGGCTTAATCATATCATAACTGAACATTCACTTATAGCAGTGCTGGTCATAAAAATCACTGAACAGCCATCCCGCTTAGTATCAGTTCTTATAATTCATTCATATTCCCATAGTATGTTATATTTATAGAAGTCTGTCTCAGCGAGCTCTTCATTTGTTATTGCCAAGTCTTGCAGACTTGGAGAAAAGAGAAAATGAAGCATTAGCCAGTTCTTTATATAAATACAACAAAAAGCAATCCTTTTCTTTTAGCAGTTTAAGCTTGGTTTATTCACAGAATAATAATCACAATTTTCAATAAGAAAGATGAATTCATATATGTCAATTTACTTAAAAGGATCAAATCACTACCTGCAATAACCAACAAACTGCAATTAATTGCATGCATTCATATGCTAAAATAACAGGCAAAAAAAGCTGGCTACCTTCTTATTATCATCTAGCACAGTGTTCATGTTTTCTATCCAAACTGCATCCACTGGTCCATCAAATATAATCCACTTTCTGTCTTCTGAGGTTGAAGATGCTTGTTGTCTGAAGGTGTTTGCAAGGATTCCATCTGTCCATTCATGGCTCACAGGGTCAAAGCACCCATATAGCTGTCCCATTGTAATAGCTTTGGGATTAATAATTCTGTACTCAACAGCAAATTCATCCATGGAATTTGCTAGTTAGGAATTAAAAATACATTACATTGATTAGCTTAATAGAAGGCAAAAGTTCTTTAACTGAAGATTAGAAATGGAACATCCCTGATAGAATCCCAATGTAGCCAAGCAAGACTAAAAGACCTTACACGTGGAAGCTACCTAGGAGTAAGTAAAGACCTCCTTTACTTATACATAGAGTTTATTGCTGCACAAGGCAGGTCTAGGGTGTTGTGTGCAAAAAAACACAAGATAAAATAAAGAACAGAAGTACAAAGGAACCTGATCCTGCATTCCTAACAGCGTCACAGAATCTCTCCCAGGGAGTAGACCTGTTGAATAAAAACGTTCAATTTTTGCAGTCATTTTCTAGAGAAGTACCATACATTAAGAAATTTGTTTGATGTGATTACTGTTGCTAGTTTTGCATGACTATTGTGCACAAATATATTGCTTAAAAATATGTAACTGACTTGATTGCATAATCGTGATCAGTTTAACAATATTTCTGACAATCTAATTTTCCAATCTAATTCCTGCATATCCAAATTCTCTTCTATCCTACAACCCATTAACAGCACAATTAGCAACCTGAATTCATCTTTGTACATCAAACTAATTAATCATGGAATTAATTTTTATGAGAAATCTTTGGCAGGGTTTTTATTTTTACCTCTGTTCAAATCACCAAGGGCTGCAGCTAGCACTTTGTAAGCACAAGTCTTTCCACCCAAAGCATCTCCAACAATCATGAATCCATGGCGCACCAGCATCATTTCATAAATCTATAGTGAGGACATGAGTTTTATAATTAAATATATTAAAGTATTGAATATGCTGTGTATGCAACTACATATTTATTTCCCTTGCACTCTACACTGTGTGAAGGAGAAGATCTAACTACACATACTGACATTCCTGCCCTTAAGAATTCCAAGATCAAATTCAGTTAAGTCCAAAACAGTGTAATTTACACTTCCTGCCTCTTCAGAATGCAAATTGCACCAATTTAGCCTTTGTCTTCATTAGAAATTTGCAACAGACTTAGCTAAACTAGTACAACTTTAAGTTTATTTCAGTTTAAGAGTACGTTTTTTCAGTTTAGCTTAAACCAATACCTAACTGATACAAGCTGCACCAACTAATTTTTACTTGTTTAACTCACTTGGCAGCAAATCAGGAAAGACAGCTAATGAAAGGGTGCAAGTGAGGCACATGTGAGTGCTGGTAATAACAATACCCACATTTCAACACACCTTCAAGGACAGTTAGTATAAGGGAGTTGCTCACCTAATGCAGTAACAAATGTTCTTCGAGATGTGTGTTCCCGTGGGTGCTCCACTCTGGGTGAAGGGTCACCATGAGCCGCAGACCGGAGCCTTGCAAAGCAGTTTTCCCCTGTTGAGTCGCACATGCCCAGGAGGCGTCTCAAGCCCTTCCCGCATTCTGCAGTGCGCGGCTCAACCACCTCCCTTTCAGTTCCTCATCTTCACCCAAGTAATTTAGACTCCAAGCAGAGAGGAGGAAGGGTGGATTGTGAAGCACCCACAGGGACACACATCTCGAAGAACACTGTTACTGCACTAGGTGAGTAACTCCCTTTTTTCCCTTCGAGTAGTGCCCCCGTGGGTGCTCCACTCTAGGTACTAAAAAAGCAGTATTCAACATATGGCTGGAGGGAGCCGGAGTCAGTGTTTAGCGGCGGTAGAGAGCACTGCTGTTACAACTGCTGAGTCATCTTTAAGTTGTGGTAGGATAGAATAATGTCTGGCAAAGGTATGGTCTGAAGACCATGTTGCTGCCCAGTAAATGTCTCTTAAGGGAACATTGTTCAAAAAGGCTGTAGAAGCAGCTGTAGCTCGAGTGGAATGCGCTCATGGTGGGCATTGTAGTGGTTTATTGCCCAGGGTGTGACACTTGATTATGCATGTCGAGATCCATTTTGAGATTCGTTGTGATGATATGGGTGTTCCTTTGGAACGCTCGGCGATGAAGATAAAAAGTCTTTCGGATTTACAAAATGGTTTTGTTCTTTCCAGGAAGAAGGCCAGAGCCCTCCGAATGTCCAGAGTATGCAGGCTGGCATCCTTCTGTGAAGCGTGCAGTTTTGGGGAAAAGGTAGGTAGTACGATCGGTTCATTGACATAGAATTCTGTACAGACCTTTGGCAGGAATGTCAGGTGAGGTCTAAGTATGACTCTGTCCTTCATGAAAACTGTGTAGGGGGTTCTGCCATTAATGCCCCGAGTTCACTCACCCTCCTGACCGATGTGACAGCTAACAGGAAACAGACTTTCATAAAAAGGGGAGTGGTACCGTAGCCAGTGGCTCGAAAGGAGGTCTGGTGAGGTGGTCCAGAACAAGGTTTAGGTCCCATAAGGGCCTTATAGGGCGGGTATACATTGTGGAGTCCCTTAAGGAATCTTTTAGTGATAGGATGGGCAAATATGGAGAAGCCATCCACCGAGGTATGGAATGCTGCTATTGCGGAAAGATGGACTCTTAAAGAAGAGATTGACAGTCCTGATACTTTAAGGTCTAGAATGTAGTCCAGGATGGTATTTAGTGGGGCGACACGGGGTTCTACTTTGGTCCGCTGGCACCAGTGGGAGAATTGTGACCATTTTTGCAGGTAAGTTTTGAGTGGATTGTCTCCTACTATGGAGGAGGATGTCCTTCACTTGCTGAGAACAGTGATTTTCTATTTCCGAGAACCAGAGAGAAGCCATGCCTGAAGATGTAGGGTATGGAGCTGTGGGTATAGTATTCTGCCATTGTCCTGAGACAGCAGATCTACATGGTGTGGTAGTGGATAAGGAGCCTGACCCGCTAGCCTGTGCATGTATGGGTACTAAGTTTGGCGGGACCATGATGGAGCAATCAGGATGACTAGGGCTCCGTCTCTGCAGATTTTGCGTAGGATTCTTGGGATAAGTGGTATGGGGGGGAAGGCATAGTGTAGGGGGACTGTCCATTTGATTAGAAAGGCATCCCCCAGAGAATGTTTGCCAAGTCCCGCACGTGAGCAGAATTGGGGGCACTTAGTATTCTGTGTAGAGCAAAGAGGTCTATAGATGGCCATCCCCGTTGCTGGAAAATTGAGTTTGTGACCACCATGTGCAACTCCCACTCGTAGTCCAAGGTGAAGTTGCGGGTGAGGGAATCCGCTTTGGTGTTGTTCACCCCAGGCAGGTAGAATGCTATCAGGGTGACATGGTTGCGGATCTATGAGTTCCACAGGCGGATAGCTTCTGCTCAGAGGCAGTGGGAGTGGGCTCCGCCCTGTCTGTTTATGTAGAACATTGTGCAGATGTTGTCTGTTAGAATGCGGCCTGTCTGATTGGCGATGTCAGAGGCAAAGTGTGCACAGGCATTCCTTACTGCCCTGAATTCAAGGAGGTTGATGTGTAGTAGTGTCTCGGATGGGGACCACCTTCTCTGAACCCCTTGATCGTCCATATGTGCTCCCCAGACGAGGAGAGAAGAATCCGTGGTAATCTGTATAGTGGGTTCGATTTGTTGGAATGGAACCCTTGCCAGAAGGTTGTTCGGTATCGTCCACCATCGTAGGGATGCAAAAACGTTTGGTGCAATGGTCACCCTCTTGTTCCGGGGGTGTCGTGATGGGATGTAAACGGTTGCTATCCAAAATTGGAAACATCAAAAGTGTAGGCAAGTAAGATGGACAACATAGGTGGTGGAAGCCATGTGTCCCATTAGTCAGAGACAGGTAAGTACTGTGGTGGTGGGAGTTGTAAACATCACGCTTATAATTTCTTGTATAGTTATGAAACGTTGAGGTAGGTATGCTCGAGCTGTGATTGAGTCCAGGTGTGCACCAATAAGCTGTATATCTTGAACTGGGTGCAACGTTGATTTGTTTTCGTTGACTAGAAGGCCTAGACGATTGAGGAGGGATGTGGTCGTACTTATCATGGAGGTGGTTTCGTCCAGTGTCGAGCCCTTTATAAGACAATCGTCTAGGTAGGGGAATATGATGACATTCTGTCATCTGAGGTATGCAGCCATGACTGCTAGTACCTTCGAAAATACTCTCGGAGCTGATGAGAGGCCGAAGGGGAGAACATTGTATTGGAAGTGTTCTGGGCCGAGCGTAAAACATAGATAGCGTCTGTGGGCAGGATGGATAGTTACATGGAAATATGCATTTTGCAGGTTGAGGGCTGTGAACCAGTCCCCTTGATCTAGCACAGGAATGATCATTGTAAGTGTGACCACCTTGAAACGTTGTTTCTTGAGAAACTTGTTCAGTTTGCGGAGGTCTAATATAGGCCTCCAACCCCGTTTTTTTCCCCTCAGTCAAGAAATAATTCAAGTAAAACCCTTTCCTGTGGAAGTCTTCTGGTACCCTTTCTATGGCTCTGATTGAAAGGAGTCGATTGTTTTAGTAGAGACTTGTTAAAGTGGTCTCTGAAAAGGTATGGGGTAGGGGGAAGGGTAGGTGTGGGAAGTGGTAATGGGATGGTGTAGCCTACTCGAATTATGTCTAGAACCCAGAGGTCTGATGTTATAGATTCCCATTGTGGAAGGAACGGCCGTAAACAGTGGGTAAAAAGGTGGCCATGTTGTGTTGTTGCTAGATCATGAGGGAGGTCTTGCAGACCCTTGACCACATCTTCAAATTTGCTGCTTGGAGGATTGAGCAGTTGGTGGGTGGACCTGATTAGGGCGCCTCTGAGGTCATTGTCTTGGCCTAGTGTCTTCATAGGGCCTGTGTGGACTAAGGACCGGCATCTATATGGGTCCCATTGATCCCAGGGCCCCTATTGTGGTGGGTAAGGTGGCAGTGGGTAAGGCCAGTAGGGGTGCCATGGGTGCTTTGTTGTGGTCCAGCCCTATAGTAGTAGGAGTGAGACCTCCTTGGCGATGTGTGCCGCGAAGAATATGTCATGTGCCGGTCATCTTCAGGTAAGGGAGCGTCTTGAAAGGAAACTGGAGATATAGACCTGGGTGGGAATGTCTTGCCAAGGATCTCCCAGGTGAGTAGTCAGTGGGAGGTAGGCATGAATGCTGCTGCCTGCTGTGAGTGTCAGACGCTGCCTGAGGCTGTTCTGTAGCAGCCTCATGAGGATGTTTCTCACTGTCTGTTGCTGGTGCTGGTGGCGGTGTGGAGATCTGGGGTGCAGCTGTAGCTGGTGCCAGCTGAGATGTAGGGGATTTCTTGTGCTGCGGTGACAAGACTTTGAAGGGCACTGCCACTTTAAGTGGTGCCAGAGTTTTCAGCAGTGCCGGGGCTTGAAGTGGCGCCATGGTTTGAAGCAGCACCACGGTTTGAAGCGGTGCCGGCTTTTCTTGCCGCCCCGGGTGCTTGGAGCATTTCTGGGATGGCTCGGAGGCAGCGCGCACCGTTAGCGGTGTGGAATGCGAGGATCTTCCTGCTGCTTTATTAGCAGGGGTCCTCAGACTTTCATGCACCTCTCCCCGGCTTTTCAAGGAGGAGGAAGGTGGGAGAAAGCATGAAGGTGAGGCTCTCTGCCTTGTTACGGTTTTGGGTGGTGGTGGGAGGGGCGAGGGGTTCATGCTGCAGTTCCCCATGTTGCTTTGTAGGCTGTACAGCCTTTTCAAACAAAATCATCCTCAGGCGGAGCTCTCTATGCTGCCTAGCTCTCGCCATGAGGGAGGCACAGTGTGTGCAGCTGTGGGGTGAGAGAGTTTCCCCCAAGCAACGAATACATTTTGCATGGCTGTCAGAAGCCAGCATAGGCTTGCAGCACTGCTTTCACTTTTTAAAGCATGAGGAGGCAGACACATTCAGGGAGATTTTTCCTTCCTTAATCTGTTGTTATTCTCGTTGTTTTATTTATTTCTGGCTGTTGTTATGGTCATTTTCTTTTGTTTCGGTGATGTATTTGTTTTCTTTAGCTGAACAGTCGGGAGAGTCCTGGTTCATTGGGGCTCCAGTCTGAAGCAAGTTTCAGTCTCCGAAGGGAAATTTTGTTACTAGTTTTGTTCTTCTTATAAGTATTATTATTATTATTTTTGAAAGAGAAAGACACAAGGGAAACTAACTTGGAAGTGTAACAGGGGAAAACTGTGGTAACCTAATTAATGGAAAAAGCAGTCTGAGAGAGAGCTCCTGCTTGCTCCGTCTGTTGATGAGGGTGGTTGAAGAGGAACTGAAAGGGAGAGGGTTGAGCCGCACGCTGCAGAAGGCGGGAAGGGCTCGAGCCGCCACCTGGGCATGCGCGGCTCAACAGGGGGAAACTGCTTTGCAAGGCTCTGGTCTGCAGCTCACGGCGACCCTTCACCTAGAGTGAAGCACCCACAGGGACACTAGTTCAAAGAAGAACATTATTACCATTTTACAAAGGGGAAAACTGAGGCACGGAACAATGAACAGACTTACTGAAGATCACCTATTAGGCCAGGAGCAGGACCAAGAACAGAACATAGATCTTATGAATCTCAGTCCAATGCTCTCACTGCTAAGGCACACTGCCTTCCTTATTAAGACTAAACTTAATTTACTAGTTCCTATCATATGGCCTAAGGCATGGGTGCAAATCTGTATCCTTGCCACAATGAAGGAGGCAATATCGATTGACTGACTGACTTACTGTGATAAAGGGCGGAGGATTTTTTTTCTGGCTTACCCATATCTGTACATTCTGTGTTTTTCACTTTCTATAGATAAGCTGTCTGTAATACTCTGTTAGCTACTGATTCAGCCAAGTACCTTAATGGTTTATACATAAATTATCTTTTTTCAGATTTGACAAATATTTTCTTTAAATACCTGAATAATTTTTCCAATAAACCAAGGAACTGGTTGAAGATTCATTTTTGTAATATTTTCATCGAGTGCTTGAACAAACAGCTCGTAGTCTGGTTTAGGAAGAACCACTCCAGGAAATAGATCAGATATGATACCCTGTTAATGAAAAAACAAAACAAAATAGGACATTATTTAAGAGCAGATTTACAAAAACAAAGAGTGCTACAAAGTACATAGCAAATGACAGGAAATAGGATTTTCAGGGGGAGTGTATTCAGATGGGCTGAGTCCTAATATAAAGGAACTAATTGCACCCACATTTTCGGACCTGCAAAATGTATGCAGAACCTCTGTAGTTGTGGCTTTAATTGTCTCATTTGTA